AGTGCCCTTAAGAATTATGCTAAATCTACTTTGCCTCTGCTCTATAAATGGAACAACAGAGACTAGATGACAGCACATCTGTTCACAACATGGTTTACTGAATATCTTAAGCCAGCTTTGGGGACATCAGCTCAGCAAAAGATTTGTTTTAAAATATTACTCCTCATTGACAATGATCCCAGTTACCCAAGGGCTCTGATGGAGATGTACAATGAGATTATTGTTGTTTTCATGCCTCCTTACACAACATCCATCCTGTAACTCACGGATCAGAGAGTAATTTTGACTTTTAAGCCTTATTATCGAAGAAATAAATTTCTTAAGGCTATAGCTGTCATATTGTGATTCCTCTGAGGAATCTGAGCACTGTAAATTGAAAACCTTCTGGAAAGGATTCACCATTCTAGATGCCATTAAGAACATTTGTGATTCATGAAAAGAGATAAAAGTGTCAACAGGAACAAGAGTTTGGAAGAAGTTGATTCCCATCCTCACGGATGACTTTGACCGGTTCTAGACTTCAGTGGAGGAAGTAACTGCAGATGTGATAGAAACATCAAAAGAAGCAGAATTAGAAGTAGAGCCTGCAGATATGATTGAATTACGGCAATCTCATGATAAAACTTGAATGAATGAGGAGTTGCTTCTTATGGATGAGCAAAGGAAGCTGTTTCTTGAGTTGGAATCTACCTGATGAAGATGGTGTGAAGATTGTTGAATGACAATAAAAGATTTAGAATATGATATAAACTTAGTTATAAAGAGCGGCAGGGTTTGTGACCATTGACCCCAAATTTATTCTTTTTAAAAAGATTTATTTATTTATTTATTTATTTATTTATTTGAGGAGAGAGAGAGAGAGAGAGAAACAGAGAAAGACAGAGAGAGACAGAGAGAGAAATATGCAGAAATATCCAAGTAGACTCTCCACAGAAACATAGAGCCTGACACGGGGTTGGATTCCATGACCCTGACGTCATGACCTGAGCCAAAACCAAGAGCTGGAAGCTTAAACAACTGAGCCACCCAGGTACCCCTGACCCCAACTTTGAATGAAATTCTACTGTGGGTTAAATGCTATCAAATAGCATCAGAAGCTACAGAGAAATTGTGAAAGGAAGAGTCAAATCATTTTTAAATTAAAGAATGTACATTTTTTTAGACATAATGCTATTGCACATTTAATAGTCTTAGACTATATTATAGTATGTAGTATAAATATAACTTTTCTATGCACAGGGAAACTAAGAAATTCATTTGACTTGCTTTATTGAGGTATTTGCTTTACTGTGGTGGTTTGAAACAAAATCCATAATATCTCTGAGGTATGCCTAAATATGTGCTTCTTCAATCATGTGTACACACACACACACACACACACACACACACACACACACACCAAACCCATAATTCCTTTTCTCTTCTTCCTGAAAATTGCTTTCTCCAAAAGAGCCAGGCCAATGCTTCATTTCTGTATCTGAGTCTGGGCTGTATTGAAGCTTCTCTGCTGTATTTAAACTTTGGCTTGTCTCTTATGGACTAGAGATCAAAAGCCAATTTGAGGTATGGATTTGCTCCTTTGGACATGTAATCCCAAGGGATGAACTGTTATCACTCACATCATTTCAGTTGTAATAAAAACCTAAATCATGCAGGGGGCTTGGTTTCTGAACTCTTTGACTTTTAAAAATATTTTTTTTGCAAGCTTAAATAATGTCAACAAATCCTGAATTATGGGGATTGTTCAAAGATTATAACCAAGCAATAATGATGACATTAGGCAGGGAAATGTAGATGAGCATTAACCTTCTTTTATCTCATCCAGTAAAATCTTTTTAAGAGAAATTCTGAGCTTTGTTACCCTGGAGAACATAGCTGCTTATAGGGAGAGATGAGATCATGGTTTTTTATTGCACTGAGGAAACTTAATTATTAGAAATTCCAGACTTTCTAGGGGACTCTGACTCATGTTTTGAGACCACATTTTATCCAGCAAACCATAACATTCACATGACCATCTCTCTCTCATCTGAAGCATCCGGCACAACATTATGCTTGCAAATGTTTTAGCATTTTTTGTAGAGTAGAACCCTGCATTAGTCCCTGCCTTATTTCTTTTACCTCCCACCCACATTGTCTGCCTCAGAGATGGAGGCAGAAAGTGCACATTAATATTATCCATTCTCTCAACTGGTGGGTGCAGAATAAGTCACACTCTCTAGTCAAGGATTGAAAGATTTTATTATAACTTTGGTTCTACCTCATGCTCTTTGACCTAAGTCTTCTGATCCCCAATAAAAACTCAGATCTCACATGCTTTGGGTCACCCCTGGACATGAATTCATGTCTTTTTTTTTTTGTTCATACATTTTTTTGTTCATCTGTTTAAGAAGTAGGTGTTGAGCGTCTCCTATGTGTCTTGCACTGTTTTTTGTTTTTTAAAGATTTATTTATTTGAGAGAGATGGAGAGAAAGCAAGAGAGAGAACAATCAAGGTGGAGGAGTATAGGGAGAGGGAGAAGCAGGCTCCCCACTGAGCTAGGAGCCCAATGTGGGGCTCAATCTCAGGACTCTGGGATCCTGACCTGAGCCAAAGGTATATGTTTAGTGACTGAGCCACCCAGGTTCCCCATATCTGGCACTGTTGTAAGCACAAGAAATATAGCAGTGAGCAAAACAGACAAAATCCCTGCCCTAATGCAGTTTACGTTTAGCATGGAAATACAACTGTAAACATAAATAAGTATAATGTAATTTTACATTTGTTATGTAATATAATGATATCAATAATTAGTTGGTGATAAGGGCTATGAGACAAGTGCATCAGGGAATGGGATAAGAAGTGGCTGGAGCAAATTCTATTTATTTTTTCAAATTTAATCAGGAATAATTGACAAAGTAATTGGATACATTTAAAGTGTACAACGTGATGGTTTGATGATACATGTACCTTCCGGAATGATTACCAAGATCAAGATACTTAAGGCATCCATTATCTCATATAGTTAACTTTTGTGTGTGTGTGTGTTTTGTGAATGCTTAAGATTATACTCAGTAACTTTCAAGTATAAAACACCATGTTATTAACTACAGTCACCATGCTGTACATTAGAAACTTAGAGCTTATTCTTAAAATGGAAAGTGTGTACACTTTGACCAATAGCTCCCCATTTTCTTCTCCTTGCACTCTGTGTTTTTAAAAAATTCACATGTAAGTGCTATCATATTTGTCTTTCTCTGACTTATTTCGTTTAGCATTACATACTCCAGGTCCATCCATATTATTGCAAATGGCAGGTCTCCTTTTTAACGGCTGAATAATATTCCATTATATGCACACATACATACCACATAGATACATATATATGTGTATATATACATACACACATGCACACATGTATATACACACATGTTTATATACACATATCTTCTTTATCCACTTATCTATTAAAGGATTCAAAGACATTTAGGTTGTTTATATATCTTGCTGTTGTGAATAATGCTGCAATGAACATGGGAGTACAGATATCTCTTTGAGATACCAATTTAATTTCCTTTGGATATAAACCCAGAAGTATGATTAATGGATCATGTGATAGCTCTATTTTTAATTTTTGAAGAATCACTATACTGTTTCTCATAATAACTGTACTAACTTACATTTCCTATCAACAGTGTATATGGGTTCCCTTTTCTCCATATCCTCGCCCACATTTATTATCTCTTGTGGGTTTTTTTTTCTTTTGTTTTTAAAGATTTTATTTATTATTTATCTATGAGAGACACAGAAAGAGAGAGGCAGAGACATAGGCAGAGACAGAAGCAGGCGCCATGTAGGGACCCCGATGTGGGACTCGATCCCAGGACTCCAGGATAATGTCCTGGGCTGAAGACAGGCGCTCAACTACTGAGCCACCTGGGAGTTTCTCTCTTGTGTTTTTGGATAATAGCCATCTTAACATATGTGAGTTGATCTGAGGTATTTCTCAGATAATTATGACGTAAAGTACCCTTTTATGTACTGTTGGCCATTTGTATGTCTTTTTTGAAAAAAATATTTATTTAGATCCTTCACCTATTTTTAAATTGGATTTTTTTTTGTTATAGAGTTGTAGTTCTTTGTTTATTTTGTTTATTAACCTATTATAGGATAAGTGACTTGCAAATGTTTTCTCCCATTCTGTAGGTTGTCTTTTCAATTTATTGCTCATTTTTTTCTTGTACAGAAACTCTTTAGTTTGATACAGTTTCACTTGTATATTTTCGCTTTTGTTGCCTTTGCTTTTTGTCTCTTGTCCAATAAATCATTACCAAGCCCAATATCAAGGAGCTTTTTTCCTGTGTTTTCTTCTAGGAGTTTTGTGGTATCAGGTATTACATTTAAGTCTTCAATCTATTTTGAGTTAATTTTTATATATGGTATAAAATATGGGTTCACTTTCATTCTTTTGCATATGGATACCCAGTTTTTCCAACACTATTTCCTGAAGAGACTATCCTTTTCCCTTTGTGTGTTCTTGATGACCTTGCCGAAAATTAGTGGACTTTATATGCCTGGGTTTAATTTTTGGATTTTGTATTATGTTCCATGTGTCTATGTACCTATTTTATGCCAGTACCATTTTGTTGTGATTACTGTAGTTCTGTAATATAGTTTGAAATCAGGAAATGTGATGTCTCTAGCTTTGTGCTTCTTTCTCAAGATTGCTTTGGCTATTTGGGGACTTTTGTGGTTCCATATCAATTTTAGGATAGTTTTTCCATTCCTGTGAAAAATGCCTTTGGAAGTTTGCTAGGACTGCATTGAATCTGCAGATCGTTTTGGATAGCATGGACTTTCCACAATATTAATTCTTTCAATTCAAGAACATGAGATATCTTTCTCTTTATTTATGTCTTCTTTAATTTCTTTGATCAATGTATTATAGTTCTCAATGTATAGATCTTTCACCCCTTTGGTTAGATTTATTCCTGAATATTATATTGTCTTTGCTACTATTGTAAATGGGATTGCTTTCTTTGTGTGTCATCCTTGCGCAGGAGCCATGCTAATCTTCTCTGTATCATTCCAATTTTAGTATATGTATATGCTGCTGAAGTGAGCACAATGGGATTGCTTTCTTAATTTCTCTTTCAGATTGTTCATTAGTTACTAATATTATATATGTAGTACATATATGACTATATATACCAATATCTATCTATCTATCTATCTATCCATCCATCTATCTATCCTCTATCTGATTCAGTCTTGGTATGTTTCTAGGAATTATCCATTTCTTATAAGTTATTTTATTTGCATATATTTGTTTATAGTAGTTTTCTGATTCATTATATTTCTGTGGTATCAGTTGAAATGTCTCCTCTTTTATTTATAATTTTATTAATTTAAGTCATCTCTTTTTTCATATTTAGTCTAGCTAAAGGTTTGTCAATTTTGTTTATCTCTTTAAGAAAACAATTCTTAGTTTTGTTGATCTTTTCTATTGTCTTTCTGGTTTCTAATTTGTTTCTGCTCTAATCTTTATTATTTCGTTTCTTCTGCAAACTTTAGGCTTAGTTTGTGTTTCTTTTTCTAGTTCCTTTGGTGTAAGTTTAAATTGTTTATATGAGATCTTTTTCTTTCTTAGTATAGGTGTTTGTTACTTCTCTTTTAGAACTGCTTTTTAAAAACTTACCATAGCTTTCAATATGTTGTATTTCCATTTTTGTTTGTCTCAAGATTTTTTAAAATTTCTTTTGATTTCTTTGTCCCATTGGTTGTTGAGAAGTAGGTTGTTTATTTTCCCTATATTTGTGAGTTTTCCAGCTTTTCTTTCCTTACTAATTTTAATTTCATACTATTTTTGTTGGAAAAGATACTTGATATGATTTCACTCTTCTTAATTTTTTAAGATATTTTTTTGGACCCAGCATGCAATCTAGAGAATGTTTTGTGTGTGTTTGAGAAGAATGTATATTCTGTTGCTGATGGATGGAATGTTCTGTATTCGTGTTAGGTCCCTTTGGTCTGAAGTATAGTTCAAGTCCATTATTTCCTTATTGATTTTCTGTCTGAATGATCTACCCATTGTTGAAAGAAGAGTATTAAAGTTCCCTACTATTATTGCACTGCTGCCTATTTCTGCCTTCAGATCTGTTAATAATTGTTTAATATATTTAGGTGCTCTGATATTGGATACAAATATATTTACAATCATTATATTCTCTTGATGAATTGACCCCTTTATCATTATATAATGGCCTTTCTGTCTCTTGTTACAGCTTTTGACTTAAAGACCACTTTGTTTGTCATAAGTATAGCTACCCCTGCTGTCTTTTACTTTCCTTTCGTATGGAATACCTTTTTTCCATTTTTTCACTTCTAGCCTATGGGTACCCTTAAAGTTGAAGTAAGTCTCTTGCATGTACCATATACTTGGGTTTTGGTTTTTGGTCCTTCTGTCTTTTCATTGGATAATTTAAACCATTTATATTTAGAGTAATTATTGATAGGTAAGGACTTGCCAGCACCATTTTAAATGTTTTCTGATTAATTTTTGATTCCTTTCTCTCTTGCTATTTTCTTTGTGAATTGATTTTTTTTGTACTTATATGCTTTGTTTTCTTTATATCATTTGTGACTCTATTATAGGCTTTTACTTTGTGATTACCATGAAGCATCATAATAATATCTGAATTTATAACAGTCTATTTAAAACTGATAACAACTTAGCTTCAATTGTACAAAAAAAGTTCTTGCTTCTCACATTTGATGTTGATGTCACAATTTACATCTTTTTATGTAATGTATCCATTAACAAAATATTCTAGCTATAGTTATTTTGAACACTTTTTTCTATTAACTTATATGCTAGATTTAAAATGGATTTACATAACACCATTGCAGTATTAGGATATTTTGAATTTGACTGTATACTTACCTTTACTAGTGGATTTTATGCTTTCATATGTTTTTATATTACTAGTTAGCATACTTTCATTTAAGTGTGAGAAACTTCCTTAGCATTTCTTAGGTATTGTGGTAAATTTTCTCAACTTTTGTCTGGGAAAATCTTTATCTCTTTTATTTTTGAAGGATAACATTGCTGGGCATCATATTTTTGCTTTGCAGGTTTTTTATTTGAGCACTTTGAAGATGTCATCCCATTCTTTCCTGTCTTGAAAGGTTTCTGCTGATAGTTTTTTTTTTTTAATTAATTTTTTAAATTAAGTTTTAATTTTAATTCCAGTATAGTTAACATCTAGTGTTATATTAGTTTTAGATGTACTGTATAGTGATTCAAGAATTCTATACATTACCCAGTGCACATCATGATAAGCATCCTCTTTAATCCCCTTCACCTCTTTCACCCTTCCTCCCACCTGCCTCTTGTAACCATCAGTTTTTTCTCTATAGTTAAGAATCTGTTTCTTGGTTTGTCTCTCTCTTTTCTCCCTTGCTTGTTTGTTTTGTTTCTTAAATTCTACATATGAGTGAAATCATATGGTATATTTCTATAATATATATATCACATCATTTTTATCCATTCATCATTCATGAACACGAGCTGCTTCCATAATTTGGCTATTGTAAATAATTCTGCAATAAATATAGGGGTGCATGTATCCCTTTGAATTAGTGTTTTTGTTTTTTTGTGTTAAATACCCAGTAGTGCAATTACTAGATTGTAGGGTAGTTCTATTTTTAACTTTTGATGAAATTCCATAATATTTTCCACACTCACTGCCCCAGTTTGTACTTTCACCAACAGTGCATGAGGGTTCCTATTTTTCCACAACCTCTTCAACATTTATTGTTTCTTGTGTTTTTAATTTTAGCCATTTTGACAGGTATAAAGTGATATGTCATTGTAGTTTTGATTTGCATTTCCCTGATAATTAGTGATGTTGAGTATCTTTTCACATGTCTATTGGCCATCTTTATTTCTTCTTTAAAGAAATATCTGTTCATGTCTTCTGCCCATTTTTATTTGGATTATTTCCTTTTTTTGATATTGAGTTGTATAGGTTCTTTATATATTTTGGATACTAACCTTTTGTCAGAGATGTCATTTGCAAATATCTTCTCCCATTTAGTAAGTTGTCTTTTAGTTTTGTTGATTGTTTCTCTTGCTGTGCAGGGTTTCTGCTGATAGTTTTATTGGGGTTCCCTTGTATTTGATAAATCTTTTTTCTCTTACCACTTTAAAAATTCTTTTTGTCTTTTAGAATTTGATTATAATGTGTCTTGGTGAATATTTCTTTGGGTTGAAAATGTTTGGGGAGTTTTAAACTTTGTGTATTTTGGTGGCTATATTTCTCCCCAGATTTGGGAAACTTCAGCCCTGATTTCCTTAATGATATTTTTGGCCTTCCTTCTTTCCTTTTTTCCTTTCTTCTGGGACTTTCAAAATGTGAATACTGTTCTGTGTGGTGTTATCTCATAATCAACATAGGCTTTTTTCCCCCATTCTTTTTCATTTCTTTTTTTCTCCTCTGATTGGATAATGTCAAGAGATCTGTGTTCAAGTTTACAGATTATTTCTTCTACTTGATTGAGCCTGCTGTTGAAGCTGTATATTGAATTTTTCATTTCATTCATTGTATTTCGTTAGCTCCAGAATTTCTGTTTGGTTCCATTTTTTTTTTAATTACTCCTATCGTTTTGTTGAAATTCTTGTTTTGCTCACACAGTTTTCTGAGTTCATTGAGTTGCCTATTTGTGTTCCCTTGAATTGTACTGAGATTCCTTAAAATAATTATTCCTTAAAATAATTATTTTGAATTCTTCTTCAGACCTTTATTTTTTGGGGAGTCAGTAACTAAAAGATTATTGTGTTCTTTTGGCTTTGCCTCACTTTTTTGCATTTCCAGTGGCTTTGCATTAATGTCTGCTCATTTGCGGGAGCAGTCACCTCTTCCAGCCTTTTGAAGTGAATTGGTGGAGAAAGGTTTTTCCCTGAATGTGGATGTGAGGGTGCCAGCTAGGTGGATTGTAGCATCTTTGGTTTCTGGGAGGGCACATAGCATAGTCTCCATTAGCTGAGGTCAATGTCAATGAAGACTGTGGGTTCTTCTGTGGCCAAGATTGCAGAGATCCTAAGAGTGGCAGTGGTAGCTAGGGCTGTCAGGGTCCTCAAAGGTGAAGGTTGATGAGGTCCTCCTGTTCTCCTTCTTTGCCTGTAGGAGAGTGTTCTGTCAGAGGGGATCCTTCTTGGCTCAGGTCATGTGTGTTTGCATTCAAAGTGGCAGCAGAGCCAGAGTACTGGGGTCAGATGCACTCAGAACTACCACAGTGCTTGCACTTGCTGGCACTGGTGTCTGAAGTGCGGTATGTGTGGATCTTTCATGGAACTGGGACCTGGGTCTCTGGCATTCACTGCAGGGACTGTGGCTCCAGAGGAGGGGCACATTAGCCATATGGACTTGGGATGACAGAGTACACTGGTGGCTTGGGCTCAGGAAGCAAGGTGTAATAACAGCACACCCTGGGGATGGTAGGTTAAAGTCCTCACTCGCTGCAGGGGACAGTCACAAAGCATCAACAGCATGGTTCTGGTGATGGCCCATTAAAGCCACAAATCAGAACCCATGGGGCAGTACAGAGAGCTGTGGCAACTCCAGTCCTACAGATGGTGGGGCTCTGAGTCATCCCAATACCAGAGACTGGGGGCAGAGCACTGACTGGGGTCCTGGGGGCAGGTCTCACCATAACAACAGCTTCAGCCCTGGGAAAGAGATGTAGCAGCAGGGACTCTGGGAAGTTCTGTTAGCTGGGTTTAATGTTGGTGGGGATCTTCAGGGGCCAAGGTTGTAAATGTCCATGGTATGAGGCTTTATTTTAAAAACATCACTCTGGCTGCTAGGTTAAGAACAGATGGTAGGGGGCTAAGAGCAAAAGTGAGGAGAGTAATTTGGAGTCTGTTGCTGTGCCTAAGAGAGCAACAATGCTGGCTGGCAGTGGGGTGGGAAAAATGGAGGTGGGAAGTGAGAGAAAGAGAAGAATTGAGGCTGTAGTTGGCCTTAGTGATGAGAAGGATAAAAGTACCTCTAACTGAGCTGGGAAGGCTTTGCAGGAGCAGGTGGGGAGGGGATCATCTGGAGCTCAGTTCTGGACATGTCCA